GTAATGCTTGTTTCTAAAGTAGAGCTGAGGACTTCATAGCCTTTCCTCATAATAATGCTTGTACAAGGAAGGGTGTGCAGCGGGAAAGATAGCTTTCTCCTATCAGCACCTACCCAGGACTCGGCACACAGCAAATGCCCAATTAATAGCTACACACCAGCAAGATACCAAATAAGAAAGCGGCTGGCTGTGGTGGCTCATGCCTGTAACCCCAGCACTTTGGGAAACCGAGGTGAGTGGATCACTTGAGCCCAGGCTGGGCTGCAGAGTTCAAGACCAGCCTGGGTAATATAGCAAGACTCCATCTCTACAATTTAAAAAAACTAGGCAGGTGCAGTGTAGTGCACCTGTAGCCCCAGGTACTCAGGAGGCTGAGGGGGAAGGCTCACTTGAGCCCAGGAAGTCAAGGCTGCGGTGAGCTATGATTGCACCACTGCATTCTTTTGTTTGTTTGTTTGTTTTTGGGACGGAGTTTCGCTCGTTACCCAGGCTGGAGTGCAATGGCGCGATCTCGGCTCACCACAACCTCCGCCTCCTGGGTTCAGGCAATTCTCCTGCCTCAGCCTCCTGAGTAGCTGGGATTACAGACATGCGCCACCATGCCCAGCTAATTTTTTGTATTTTTAGTAGAGACGGGGTTTCACCGTGTTGACCAGGATGGTCTCAATCTCTTGACCTCGTGATCCACCCGCCTTGGCCTCTCAAAGTACTGGGATTACACGCGTGAGCCACCACGCCCAGCCCCAAAATAATTTTTAACTGTTTAGAGAAATTATTTCCACAAATATCCCAATCGACCAACTATTTTATCACACCTCTGGCATTCTCTGATTTGTATTTGATTTCTGCCTGTGTGACATTGTAGTGAATGATCTTGTCTCCTTAAGCTTATTTCCTCAACTCAGACCCTCATTCAACTTCAAATCTGATCACATTTCTGAAAATATGTGGCACCTCATGACTTGGTCACTTCACACACGTATTCATTGCCTTGCAGTTACTCAATTGAAGCGTGGCATCAGTGAAGAACAGACATCCACATCTAGTTAAGATTGAAATGAAAGATCTTATTTACAGCTGATACGAACAATTGTAATTTAGAATTGAACTGTGCAAAGAGAGTTAAGTCTAAGAAGTTGTAATCAAGGAGAATTCTGGCTTCTAACGCAGGTTTCATTTTTTCAGCTGTGAGCTGGGTTAGTTTTTGGCGTCACTGAACCTGAGCAGCCTGCCCTCTGCTGCCTCTAGGAGGAGGATGAGTTTATGTTGGGGATGGCAGAGGGAAGGAAGAATTTTAAGTTTATTTTTCTTATTTTTTAGTAGACTTTATTTTCTAGAGGGCTTGTTGGGTCCACAGGCTTCTGTTCTTTACGTACTGCCGTTCTAACGTTCTCTTTTCTTCTTTCCATCTCAATTGAGATTAGAAAGGAATATTTAGTTTGTGTTTTCTGAGTGTAGCTTCATGTTCCCGTTCTGAAGTTTTGGTTTCTTCTTCGAGTTGCCATAAACTGTGGTTGTGGGTTACTAAGTGTTCTAACTCTGTAGCTCACTTTTAACAAATGGATACTGCAGTCATTGTTTTTACTCCCATAAAATCTTTGATCCAACAACTCTCTCTCCCCATGACCTAAAGTTAGTGGCTTTTAAGCTTTTTTAAACTTTCTTTTTTTAAGCTTTAGGTCCCCAAACCAAGAAATTAATTAGTTGTTTAAAATTACAACTCATTACACACATATGATATCATGTAAGTGTAAAACTATTTGCTTTTACAATAAACGTTCACTCTTCTCTAATTCATAGCCTCTAAAATGGGTTTTGACCTGCAGTTTGAAAGACGTGGCCCTAGAGAGAACAAGCTTTTGGGAATGGAGCCCCCCAGTGACCACTCATACACAATTGCACTGGAAGCTGATGTAGGAAGTAAAATAATATTTGACTTATTTAAATTTTTTTTTTTTTTTTTTAAGTCGGGGTTTCACCATGTTGGTCAGACTGGTCTTGAACTCCCGACCTCAGGTGATCCGCCCGCCTTGGTCTCCAAAGTGCTTGGATTACAGGCGTGATCCACCACGCCTGGCCTAAACAATTTTTAATGTAAAAAAAAAGTTATTGAGACAAGGTCTTGCTCTGGTACCAGGCTGAAGTGCAGAGGTGCAATCACAGTTGACTGGAGCCTTGACCTCTGGCTCAAGCAATCCTCCCACCTCAGCCTCCCGAGTAGCTGGGACTACAGGTGTACACCACCATGCCCACATAATTTTGTCATTTTTTTGTAGAGACGGGTTTTCGCCATGTTAGAGACTGGTCTCGAAATCCTAAGCTCAAGAGATCCGCCACCATCCTCGGCTTCCCAAAGTGCTGAGATTACAGGTGTGAGTCACCATGACTGACTGAATCATATTTTACACATGGCATTTTTGCTGAAAATTCATGATGTTATACAAATCAACTGAAAGGGAGAAAGAAAAAATATGTATCTGGAAAAATATGGACTATATAAAAGACAAATTAAGAGGCCGGGCATAGTGGCTCATGCCTGTAATCCAAGCACTTTGGAGGCCAATGTGGGCGGATCACCTGAGGTCAGGAGTTCAAGACCAGCCTGACCAACATGGTGAAATCCTGTCTTAAAAAAAAAAAAGACAAGATAAATTAGAGTGAGTGCCATTCTTACAGTGAAATAGAAGGCATATTCATCATTGCACATCCAAGAGATGCTGTCTGGACTCCTTAATGTTCATAAAATATTGCGATTATGCCTGAATGCACCCATTTAGCTAACTGTGCTGTCATTTTTGATGTCTAAAACAAAAATGTTTTCTTGGTCTATATAATGTCTCACAGCTGAATGTTTGTGATTATGAGTTTGCTTATCTTAACTTTGCACATTTTGTTAATTTATTCTCAGAAATGCAGAAAATAGAGCTGGGTGTGGTGGCTCACACCTGTAATTCCAGCAGTTTGGGAGTTCGAGACCAGATTAGCCAACATGGTGAAACCCTGTCTATGCTAAAATACAAAAATTAGCAGAACGTGGTGGCATGCGTCTGTAATCCTAGCTACTTGGGAGGCTAAGGCAGGAGAATCGCTTGAACCCAGCAGGTGAAGGTTGTAGTGAGCTGAAACAGCACCACTGCACTCCAACCTGGGCAGCAGAGAGAACTGTCTCAAAAAAAAAAATGCATAAAATACAGGCCTGTCTTTGGGTTAATCTCATACATCATAAGCACCACTATCTCTCCACTCTCAGGCATTAACTCACTTAGACAATAACCTCACACCTACATTTTTTCTGTCAAGAAATGTAGACAATAGCCGGGCACGGTGGCTCACGCCTATAATCCCAGCACTTTGGGAGGCCAAGGCAGGTGGATCGAAAGGTCAAGAGATTGAGACCATCCTGGCCAACATGGTGAAACATCATCTCTACTAAAAATACAAAACTTAGCCAGGTGTGGTGGCGCGTACCTATAGTCCCAGCTACTCGGGAGGCTAAGCCTGGAGACAGAGCAAGGCTCTGTCTCAAAAAAAAAAAAAAAAAGAGAAATGTAGACTAGGGATGGCTTTCTCTCAGAAGAATCGTTTTCATTACCCTATTATTTATATTTAAATGCTGTTTTAATAAAACGTAAAAACAATTTCTCTTTGGTTAACTATCCCTCCAACTTTTTGTGTTTCACTTTAAACTCTGCAAATAAATTTGTGAATGAATGAATGAATACATGTTGAGAAAAAGTATTTGATTTTCATTGGTCCTTAAGTGCCTACAAACTTAGAAAATGATATAAACACTACCCAAACCTGGTATTTTTTTGGATTTCAAGAGCTTGAAAAGAACTAAGTGTCAATTAATTCTTTTTTCCTCATTTTGAGTGAGGGCAACAATGTTCACTGACACACACGCCATGGGATCTTGGCTTCACTGCTTCTCCCATGACGCCTGTTTCCACTGTAAAAGGACTTCAGTTGGCTAGATTGGGGTTTTTCATGCTTTGACCATTAGCCACAGCAAGAAAGTCATTTTTTGTCATGACCAAGTACACATATATTCATTTGTATCATTTATATCTGTAACAAATTTCATAAAGCAATACTTAATGCTTATTTGCTGTTCACCAAAATGGCCCCATGATCCACTGTTTATAAAAGTATGAAAAACATTGGTGGTCTTAAATTATCTAAGAATAAAATTCTGTAAGATAGTAGCGGTGAATTTCCATCTTATTCTTTCCAATAATTCTCAGAAACAGATTTCTACTGTGTTTAGCATTCCGCAAATGGCAACCATCATCAGAGACTTCAGAAGATTCTTTCCTGGGGATTCAGAAGCGCAGGGGTGAGAAATATGCCTTTTAGGGACTGTATAGGCTCACTGTCTTTTAAGATGCAGTGAACAGCAAGAAAAGTGATAGTGCTCTGATTTTCCTAAGTGGATCTCCTGCTAGTAAAATGAAGCCTTAACTGTCCTCATAATTTATCTTTTCCTGTAATACAACCCACACAACTTCCTGCCCCATCTCCTATGCCTTTAAAGCAGAGATTTGGCTTGGCCAGTATTTAAAAAGTTATTCCTGGTACTACATTAAACCCAGAAGAAACAAAACACAGCAACTCTTTGCTCTGCACTATTTACACAGTTCTACCTTACCCCATGTCCTTCAAGGAGTCAGAAAGCTTGGGTAACTTAGACACTTATGAACTGAAAAATGCCAGGGCAGACAACCAGTCTCTAAGCAAAACCAAGAAGCACCCAGCTAAAAACTTTGTTTGCACAGATGCAAAGGCACGACATCTACATGGGAATCAATATCTGAATTCCAACGTTTTGCTTTTTGTTACACACCCAACCACATGCACAAAATGAATGTAAAGAAAATGTCATGTTTTCTATTTTTAGGTTGAAATACGGAGCTCATAAAAGCAGGGTTGCCATAAATTTTCACATTCACGGATACAACTTATAACCAGGAAAAGAACCACACCACACACACACCCCCAAATTTAACAGTGGTAAACAGTTTTTATTCAGGCAATGAAACATGGAAAAAATATATTAGTAATCATTATAATAATTTGTGAGTATAACTTTTACAAATAGTTACTTGACATATAAAAAGGGAAATTACTGTGCATATAAAATTTATGTAGATGAATATTCCACACAACACAATCCTGATAGCAGTAGTCAATGCAGCGCTCATCCCTCCAGATGAGGGGCTCCTCACACACTTCATGGCACCCGTGGGGACACAGTGGAAGCAGATGTGCAATGAACATTTACTTGGCACATTAGTATAATGAGTATCTACTGGCAAACACACACTTGCTAACAGCAATACTGAAAAGTTTACTGCTACCTCAGATTTAAAAGAAATGCCTGGATCTTATCCCGACGGCTGAGAAGGACCGAGGCTGAGGCTGTGGTGTGGTCACCCACATGCTGCCCTGTATCTGGACTGAGGATGCTTTCAGAGTTCAAATTTGTACATGTCCATTTCAAAATTCTTCATAAATACAAAATTAGCAGTTAATGATGTGACCAAGAAATTACTGTTTTGAGTATATTTCAGATACCACTAAAAGACAGGAGGGGGAGGAAGTAGCATCCTGACAGTTCTAAAATAAAGGATCGATACAGGGAAGGTTCAGACCACATCTCAGCTCTGAGCCTGGCCTCCTCCATACAAGTTAAAGCATTACACAGACCGCCACAGGCCAGCATTGCACGCAACATCTCCATATTAGAACTATAACCAGAATATATATTTATATAATAGCTGTAACCATATTATAGTTAATAAAGTCATTCCTTAGGAATCTTGTTTGTCCAAATCTAACTGCATGCTAAGAGGCACAGAAATGGGATTGCATTTGGACAAAAAATGACGGAAAGTGCAATCTTTAGTCTCCAGGATACAAGCTCTGGCACTAGGGGGTGGGTCTTCCCTGGAGAATGCTGCTGCTGCTATTCTCTTCCAGAGATCCTTCGAGAGGAGAGTCTGTTATACTGGTCTCTTTACCTTTACTCTATGGAGACTCAGGATTTAGTGGTAAATTGCTTTTTAAAAATAACTGGAATCGGGAGGCTAGTCAAACCTTTTTGGACAGATATCTCCTTGAAATACTTCTTTATTAAAGTATTTGAAGAAGATATGACTTCTTAGACCTTTGGCTTGACATTCTGGGATTCCCAGACTATATTGTTCTTTCATAAGCAAATAATAATCTGTTTTCATTTAGATTCTTCAGAATATATAAAATCCCTTGCTTGAATCATGTAATCTTTCAACACCAAGTTTCTATCTTCCCAACAGGATAAAGTCAGAAATGCAAGTCAGAGAGCAAGCTCACAGTCACATGACTTCAAAGGGACAACAGTCAGAGACAGTTCATGAGGTGGCTACCAATTGTAATGAAAAACCAAAAGAAGTTAAAAGGGGGCTTTAGAATTTCTACTCCACTAAAAAAGAATGTGCTGAATCACTTCCAACTCAGTGTACACAGACCTACTACCAAAGCTTGCTCTTAAAAACCGCTTTTGAGCTTACAGTGACCATTGAGCCCTTTGTCAACTTTATGGAAAATGAGTGCTTCACTCCGGCTGCTTTTAGCCAGCCGAGGAACATTTGGGGGCAGTTTACTCTCCCTGTTTATAATTAGAACAAACTCAGGGCTGTCTAATAAATATCTAAGTATTTGTGTGAGAGTTGTACAAAGTATGGGTAGGTTGAAAAGGGTAACTGTCTGGAAAGCAAATTCAACTTGAGCTATCCTCCAAAACGAAACATAAATCTTCCCTTAGATTCCATACCATTCGGGAAGGCTGCCAAATCTTTGGTTTTTCACCATCATGTGCTTCTGCACTTCCTAATTTGGGCTAAGTCTGAAGAAGCTAGAAACTGCATGATAAAACTGGGCTTCCCAGTATTTCCAGAGCAGTTTTACAGAACAAAAGGTTTGGGTAGGCGGCTGAAAGGAGATTCTCCAACCTCGGGAGCTCTGACTGTGACTACCTCAGCAGCCTCTAGGGAAATTGTTCAGTCGGCCTCCTCACGTTGCATTCCCCAATTAAAATACTGCTGGATAAAGACTACCTACACTTTGGTAAAGTCAAAAGCTAAAGAAATGGCTTTGGATCCAGAAGCTCAACAGGATCACCTAATATTCCCAAATCACCATCTAAGCCGCAGCTGCCTTCTACTTTCTTTCTTTTTTTTTTTTTTTTGAGACAGGATCTTGCTGTCTGTCAGGTTGGAGTACAGTGACATTCATGGCTCACTGCAGCCTTGACTTCCCAGGCTCAAGCGATCCTCCCACCTCAGCCTCCCAACTAGTTGGGACCACAGGCATGTGCCACCACGCCCAGCTAATTTTTATATTTTTGGTAGAGACGTGGGTTCACCATGTTGCCCAGGCAGGTCTCAAACCCCTGGACTTAAGCAATCCTCCTGCCTCAGCCTTCCACAGTGTTGGGATTACGGGAGTAAGCCACTGTGCCCGGCCCTTTTTCTCTTCTGTAACAGGGTTTATTATTGCCTGTATAGTACGTTATTTGGCTCTCATCTGTGTTGAGGCAAATTCTATACTATATTCTTACTCTCCAGAGTTTTAAAACTTTTTTTTTTATTTTTAAAGAAAAATAAACAAACATACTTCATTCTGCCCAATATATTCTCATGATCTGTACAAGCTACATTTTAGTTCTCTTTGGAGAGGAGGCATCCGTTAAGTTAGAATGGGGGATATTTGCTCGTAACAGTCATGGCTGAGAGGCCAGGACAAGGATCACTTAACGAGGGTCCTTTGGTGCTCCCTGTCTCCCTGTGCATCAGCCTCATTCACTGGGGTCAGGTTCTTATGGGGCCCCTCCACCAGTGTGCTAGGGAAGGACTGCCGTCATCTCTGTTTAACACATAGCTACTTTCTTAAACCAATAAGCTTAAAAAGATGACTATGAAATTTATAGTGGAGGCCACTATAACGCTTTCATACTTAAAACAGATCAATATAAAACAAGTAAACATGAAAACACCAAAACAGAGCAGCAAAAAGATTTAGCAATCAATGTTTCTTTCTGCAAAATGCAAAATTAACTTCTTTAGTTGTAGAGGACTGAAGAGGAAAGCAGTTATACCAAGGCAACACGTGCTCTTGGTACTATGACCACTAGGACAGCATTCATATTACACCACAGTGACTGCTTTCAACGCCCAAATGATTGTCAAACCACTTCTCAAACGACAGATAATTTCTGTTGTACTTTTTTATATAAAATGTTAAGATAATAGGCTTGAAAATATAGCCTAAGCACCAATTATGATAAATGCATATTGGTAAAACGTGACTTCTGGCTTTAAAAGACATTATTGACCTCCCTGGGGCTAAAGGTTGCACCCATATAAGTAATACACTGCTAAAGAAAAATTAATTTTTTAAGATCTATAGAGGTTCTCCACTAGGCACAATTCATTGCTGAAGTTGGATCATGCAACAGTTTTACGAGAAAAGTAGGAAAGCATACATATACGGAATATAGTGCATATCACCATGAAGACTTTCAGGGTATAAGATTAAGATAGGAGAGTGCTTTAAAACACTTGAATGTATATGGGTTTGCCTATTCAAATAAAAGGGAATTCACTGGGATTTACATGGAAAAATCCATGCTGGGGCTAATGGCCCATCACTCTGAACTGAGTCCAGTAAGAACTTGAGGAATTTGCCTTTGTTAGTACAGACCTTCTCCTTGAACTCCTCTTCCCATTATTCAAATTTTGTTTAAAAATATCAAAACATACTGATTTTTGGAGTGTTTCACTTGACTTTTACTGCTCATTTTGTTAAAAATTCTGTCTTAAGTTAGAAGGTATTTTTTGCTTTTTTTCTTTTCAACCTCTGAAGAGCAATGCATCACACTCGGGGAAGAAAAAATCCATTTCTTCACCTTATAATTGGTAATGGTGCTACAGTTACCTTTTAATTAAACAAGAACTAAGCCTTTTACAAGGAGATTTTCTTCACATATTTAAAATAGAAAGATCTAAACTCAGTCTCAAAAAAAAGAGAAATATAATGAAGACTAAATGTTGATTTTGTATCAACAAACAGAGGCAGAGGAGAGTAAATGACTCTAGGGCAGATTTGCCAAATCCTAGCTTGGAGGAACTTCCATATTGCGGACACTACCTCCAGTCTAAGGACTAGCCCCAAAGGGCCACACCCATTAAAGCTGAGGAGTGCCTGAATACCAGGGCAAATAGTCTTCTCCAGATGTGAAAACCCAAGTCTGCGGTCTTCGCATCTTTAATCCCCCAAATTCTTAAGTTAGCGTTCTGAGTCAGGACTCTACTTCAAAACAGGGTCTTACATCTAAGGAAATATGTTCTTCTGTAGAGAAGTTCTTACTTGACTATGCTTCAGAGAAAAGAGCAGCAGCATCTATAAATATACAAGTATGTGTGTGAGAGTGTGTGTAATAAAAGGGCACCCAGAGCCCCTTCTTGTTTATAAACTGGAAGTAACATTAGGCCAAATTATCTCCTTAAATAAAACCACTGATATTAAAAAAATTAAAAGATTAAATAGGTAACAAAAAAATCAGACAGGTGGTGGAGAAGACCCAAAGAGGATCCACAAAGCTGCAAATTTAACACACTTGGGAAAGTAAAGATGACTTTAAAACAAACTAAACATAAAGAAATCACAAACCCAAACTCAGCAGCCTAAGGGAACCTTCGTACAGTGAACTGGGAGACTCCAGCACTGTCAGGTCACACTCGTTTCTAGACTAGGCAACCCTCTAGGGTTTCTTCCAGGGCCGTTGCATTGGCAGCAAAGCGAGACAGGCAGCAGTAGGCATGTGCTTTTTTTTTTTTTTTTCTCTGCAAAGGGGCAATTTTTCCTGGATAAGGCAAGATAATTGTGGTCACAAGAGAAGCAGCCAAATGCAGATCTGCTGAGCTAACAGAGGGAGTCTCAGTCTGTCTTTCCCAGCTTTGCAATCAGCTCATCACAGATTTTTGTCAGTTCTTCAATTTCTTGATTCTGAAAGACAAATGACAGGATTATGCAGGCCACTTTGTATTTTGAAGTAAAGGCAAATATAGCTAACTAGTCCCAAGTCTGGCTATACCCTACCCTAGATAACCTAATTTAGTAATTCTTAACTTTTCTACATCAGGGATACTTTAAAGAAAAAAAGGCCACACATCTTCTCCTCAAAAAATGTACTCACAAAATTATGCTTAAATTGAGTAAAAACAGTCACCAGCCCTCTGACACTTGTGAACCTCTTAGTTCCCCAATTTTCTTGTTATCAGAGAAATTATCTGGGGTACTTGTCAAAAACACAAGTATCTGAGTCTCACTCAATCCATCAGCATCTCCAGGGATGCTGGAGTCTGAATCTCCCAGGGAACAATGTTCTAGGGGCTATCAGACCCTGATAAAAACTCCTGCTCTAGATGAATGGATGGCACAGGTAGGAGTAGATAATTGGAAATGCAGTAAGAAAAACACACCAGACACATATAAAAATGGAAAGCTAAAAATTGCTTAGTGAGAAATAGGAATTGTTGCTAGTCCTGGTTTTCATTTATCTAGAGCAATTTCTCAACAGCGGCCCTGCTGATATTTTAGGATGGGGAAGTCTGTTGTCCGGAGCTGTTCTGTGCATTGTAGGATGTTTAACAGCACCCCTGGCCTCCTGCAACTCCCACCGGTGACAACCAAACAAATCTATCTCCAGACATTACCTAACACCTAACATCCCCTGGAGGGCAAAACTGTCCCCAACTGCGAGCCACTGACCTAAAGCAATGAAGGGGAAAGATGGCTTCATATTAATATATTGCATAAAAAACAAAAAGAAAGAAAGGCAGTGTCATGACCCCAACTAGGAAGGTGCTCTGAACTTCAGTTAAAATGCAACTTCCTCTCTGCACCCTGCTTGTGGGTGATTTCCACATGAAGTACTTGTAAATTTAATGGTTTGACTTGCTTGTTTCCACGTGGATCAGTAGAAAAGAACTGGACTGAAGTGTCTGAGTAGAAAGCCAAAGTCTCTTTCACCCAGATCTGTCATGAGCCAATCACTGCTGAGGAGGAAAAGCAAATGCCTCTGTGGCCACCCACACCAGGCCCCTTCTGTACCTTCTGCTGCAGGGCCCGTTCCAGGGACTCCACCTTCATCTGTTCTTTCCGGAGTCCAGCGTGGAGAGCTGCACTCTCAGCCTTTGCTTTTGTTCGAACCTGAGCAATCTCTTCATTGGCTCTGTTTATAGTGTTTGGGTGGAATAAAGAGACAAAAAGCACAAGGTTAGTCACTGGGCAAAGCCAGTCAGGATACTAACCACTGACATCTGTGAGGCACAGGCCCCGCACAGGCACCAAATAAATGACTGTGTGGTAAGAGAAAAAATAAAAATCAGTGACCTAAATAATTCCATTTTAATTTATAAAAATTCAATTTACAGACACCTTCAAAATTTCTGTCTCACTAGCAAATGGTTTCTACAACAGTCTTAGAATTTTTTTTAACCCAGTACAAAAGCGGACTGGATAATTATGGAGACGATCACAGCTAGAGTCGGGATGCTAACCCTGACATCTGTGAGACTTGGGCCTACCAGAAGTGAGTTTATTAATGAGATGTGAAAGGCCTTCTTAAAAACCATGTCAGTTGATGAACAGACAATAAACTGATGAAAGGATGCTAAAGCCTCATTAGTAATCAGAGGTATATAAACTAAAACAATAAACTTTAAAAATTGATTGAATTGGCAAAAATTAACAAGGATGTCTTATCCTGTGTGGGCTGAGATGCAAGGAGACAGGCAGGCTCATGTGCCAATGGGTGGATGAAAACTGGAGCAGCCTTATAGAGGGCAATGCAGTAGTCACCAGGATAATTTAAAGTGTACACACCCTCAAACGCAGCCATCCCACTTTCAGTTACAGATTCACAGAAATACTCCCACCTGGCACAACAGTGAGTGCACAGGACGATTGCTGCAGTGTTACCTACAGAAAAGTTTGTAACTGTCTAAATGCCATCAACAAAGAAATGCTATAGTTCTATGACCTAATAAAAAGAATGAGATTCAGCTATATATTCTGACATGAAAAAATGGCCATGATATGCTTGCTACTAAGGGAAGAGGGAAATTTGTCTAATGTGACTCTAATATTGTAAATAGTTTTTACAGTTAAGGTTCCAAGCCATAGTATTTATAAAGACACAAAGAAAAGACTAGAAGGATATACAATAAACCTATGTATAATACATAGAGGGACCTGTATAACCTATGGAGAACACATAAGAAACGTAATTACAATACTATGGGAGTCGGAAGGGGACAGGGGAACTTTTGTTTCTACAAATAGAAATTTAGACAGCAAAATGTACAAGAATGTATTACCTTTTAGTTAAAACGTCAAGTTGCAGGCTGGGCACGGCGGCTCAGGCCTGTAACCCAGAACTTTGTGAAACCAAGGTGGGGGGATCACTCGAGGTCAGGAGTTTGAGACCGGCCTGCCCAATATGGCGAAACCCCGTGTCTACTAAAAATACAAAAATTAGCTGGGCTTGGTGGCAGGTGCCTGTAATCCTAGCTACTGAGGAGGGTGAGGCAGGAGAATCACTTGAACCCAGAGGCAGAGGCTGCAGTGAGCCGACATTGTGCCACTGCACCCCAGCCTGGGCAACAGAGACTCTGTCTCAAAAAAAACAACAAAAAAAATCAAGTGGGATACTACTCCCCAGGATAAACTCCAAATGTATCAGATTTAAGGATTAAAAAAATTAAGCCATAAAGTATAACATGGGAGAATATTTTCTATCCAGCATGGGGAAGATCTTTGTTACTATGACAAGGAATCCAGAAGTTGTAAAGGAAATGACTAACACATCTAACCACATAAAAGTAAATTTCTGAATATCAAAAAATACTATAGGCACGGGCAAAAGACAAATGATAAACTTGAAAAAAATTTTTTTTTTTTTGAGACGGAGTTTCACTCTTGTTGCCCAGGCTGGAGTGCAATGGCGCGATCTTGGCTCACCGCAACCTCCGCCTCCTGGGTTCAGGCAATTCTCCTGCCTCAGCCTCCTGAGTAGCTGGGATTACAGGCACGCGCCACCATGCCCAGTTGATTTTTTGTATTTTTTTAGTAGAGATGGGGTTTCACTATGTTGACCAGGATGGTCTCGATCTCTTGACCTCGTGATCCACCCGCCTCGGCCTCCCAAAGTGCTGGGATTATAGGCGTGAGTCACCGCGCCCGGCCCAAACTTGAAAAATTATTCAAAATTCTTATCACAAAGGGCTGGTGTCCCTAATATATAAAATATATAAACTGACGATAGGAAAATGGGCAAAGAATAGAGTCATTTATAGTAAAGCAAATATATTAATAAATGAATGCTGAAATATATTCAATTTCATTCGTAAGATAAATGCAAATCAAAGTCACATTGATTAAAATAAATGCTCTGTTACTTGCCAAAAACAAACAAAAACCTATGTCGAAATATCATTTTCACCTATTAGATTTCAGAAAATCAAAAAGTTGATCTATTGGCACAGCTGTAGAAAAAAGAGATGTTCTCATATATTATATAGGGATATAAAATGATAAAAGTCTAATGGGGCCAATCTGACAACATTTACAATAATTATAAAATCATATATGCTTTGGCCTAGCAATTCCCTTTCTAACACACAGATCATAAAGATAACTCACAGGCATGCAAAATGATCACCTACCAGGTCACTTACTACAGCACTGTCTGTGGCAGCAAGACATTTTAATTAACTTTAATGTCTAACAGGAAGAGATTGTTAAATAAATTACACATTCCAACAATGGAATACCATGTGGCTATTAGAAAAAAAAAGTGGAAGCTCTTCTTGGACTGAGATGGAAAGATCAAATTATACCGCTAAGCAAAAACAGTAAAGTATGATACAATCATATAAAAAAGGAGAAAAAAATTATAATAGGAAGAAAAAACAGAAACCAACAACGATGATTACCTGGTGTAGAAAAAGGTGGGAATCCAGTGGAAGGGGGCAGGAGCGGAGATGGGTAGTATACACCTTTTTTTGCTTTTTAATGTTTTAACAATGGGAAGAGGGTTTGAAAGGTGAGATAAAACACACATGTACAAATACAACCTGGAGTTGCAAAACAGTGAATTTTTTTTCCTTTGTCAGTCTTCCCACAACATCATGAAAAGTGAAATTCAGAATTTACAAGCTCTTACTTGTCCAGTTTTTCTTCTGCATGGATTTTCAGGGCCTGGTATCGCTGCTCTTCTTGTTTAACTCTGGCTAAGTAATCCTGAGCACATTTCTTCAAGGCTTCTTCATTCTGTTCCAAAGCAAAAATTGAAAGGAAACAGGTCATTTTGTTTCTTCTACTAGTAATCTACCATGAATCAAAGTTTTCCTTTTTTAAAGAATGGAAAAATCTAATTAATTCAGATACCTTTTATTCATACTCTACTGTAACTTGAAATAGGTACATGTAATTCTGAGGAAATTCTATATAATGTCCTCATGTTAATTTTCCGTATCATATAGTAAAGGTCAGTTATACCAATATGCCTACTTTAGGAAGGCAGTTATTCAAAACTGAATGGCAATTTGACTTCCATACTTGATAAACTGGCCAGTTTCATTTTTATTTTAATAGGAAAGTAAAGACATTTCATTGTTGTAATTGTGTCTTGTTGATATTGTAAAGCTAAATTAAATCAACGGGCCTATTTACATCTAAATTTGAAATATTATACTTAATGTCTTTTAGAATATGCAGCTTGAATTTTTCAGTGACATAGAATTCCTTTTAATCCCTTTTACTAATATTGAAAAGGTGACTTATCAGAAAGAACGTTTCTAGAATTCGCCTGAGGTCTGAGGGTTCAATGCTCTCTACACCAAAGCCTGGGGCTTACTGGCTTGACGCAGGAGAGGAATAGCCAAGACGTGCCACCAAGTGGGCTGGATGCCTGAACAACCGAAGAAGGGAAAATGTGGAAAAAATCCAGCTTCACTGGAATAGAAGATACCAGGCCAGTAGACCCTGAGCCCCTATTTAGAAGGATATCCACACCTCTGGCATATGTATTTGATGACCGGTTACCAAGGAAATACACTACTGAAAATGTACCAGGAGATAGATGAAAAAAACACACTACCTTCTTGAACCCTTCCAGAACGCCCTTCAGGTTCTCGTATCTCCTGAAGAGATCAGAAAGGGACCTTTCCACAGAGTTAAGGTCGGCCAGGGCCTGTTCCTTCTCCATGGTCAGTTGCTGGAAGCTTTTCTGAGAGGTCATACTTGTCCTCTGTTCATCTTCTGGGAATCACAAGTCAAAAATAATGGCATGTTTATTCAACAAACAGAGACTCCCCAGAAGCCAAGCAGTGTTCTCAGTGGCAGGGACTCAGTCAGGGATGTGACCAAGTTTCCACTCTCATGGCTTATATTCTAGTTGGGGGAGATGGGTGGTGACAAGTGATGGGGAAAAACAAGGCAGGGTAAGGGGAAATGGGGGCAGGGGAGGGGGTTTTCATTGCACAGAGAGAGTAGTTGTTCTCAGAAGAGATTTGAGCGGAGACTGGACAGAAATGAGGGTGAGTCACACAGCTACTTGGGAGGAGAATATTCCGTAGAGAACAGCTGTGGTAAGGCCCTGAGCTGGGGAGGCATTAGGTGATGTGGAGAGTAGAAAATATCATTTCGGTAATTTAGTGGAGAAAGGCCAGACTTTGGTTTAGGGAGTCAATCCTTATGATATAGATGAGAAGAGACTCTAAATTCAACGCAGGAGGATCAATCCCTGTTGTTTTGTAAAGGCACTACAGGGTCTGATGCAGAGAAACTAAAACCAGCACTAGAGTAAGAACCCTGCACTAAAACACAGGATGCTCCCAGCAGGCATTAGTGATGTGAGTAGGCCACCAATGCTCACAGAATTCACGGCCTGCCATCCTCTAAGGTGAACCTAACTACAGTTGACCCTCATTATTCACCAAGTCTGTATTTCCAAATTCACCTACTTGCTAAAATTTATTTGTAATCCTAAAATCTATCCTCCTGGACTTACATGGTCATTTGTGGATGTGTGCAGAGTGGCAAAAATGCTTTGGTCATCTGATGTGTATACTCTCAGCTGACTGTGAACAAAGCAATACTCTGCCTTCCTGATTCATACTGCAAACAAGTGCTCTCCATGTGGTCTATTCAGGGCCATGTTTTTTGCATTTGTGTGCTTTTTGCTGGAGACCTCACTGTTCTGAGTAGCCTCCAAGGGCAGCGCTAAAGTGCTGTCTAGTGTTCCTAAGCACAAGAAGGCAGTGAGGTGCCTTAAAATACATACATTACAGAAGCTCTGTTCAGACCTGAGCCAAAGTGCCATTGACTGTGAGTTCAATGCTAATGAATCAACCATATATATTAAATAAGGTGTCTTTAAACAGGAATACACATAAGACAAGGTTATATATTGATCAATTGATGAAAATTGTCCTGGGGCCAGACACAGGACTCTAACTCTGTCTCTCCCCTAGAAGCAGTGTTTAGTATCACTAATTCAGTGTTTGCAGCAACTTTATAAAACATACCTCCCATGAATAACGAGACTTGACTGTATTTAAGTGACAGACAAATAAAACTTTGTGACATGGTCTGAAAATCATCCATGGATCCGGCTATGGTCTTATAGTTTATGCCATCCCCCTAACCCCAAATCTGTGTGTTGAAACCTAATCCCCAATGTGTATATTCAGGGTGAGAGAGGGCATGGAGGGGGATTTGGGAGGTGATTATGTCAGGATTAGTGTCCTTACAAAGGAGACCCCAGAGAGCTGGCCAGCCCCTTGTAAGAGGAATGGGCCCTCCCCAGACATCCCATCTGTGGGTACCTTGATGTTCTTTGTTTCCAGAGCTATGAGAAATGTTTGTTGTTGATAAGCTAGCTACCTTGCAGTATTTTGTTATAGCAGCCTGAATAGACTAAGATAGATCCTATGGCTCATACCCTTGAAAAAAAAAATGTTCTTACCAATCATTTGAGCAATAGTCTTTTCATATTCAGCTACAATTTTCCTAAATGAGAAAAAAAAGAATTTATTACCTGAAAGGGGATTTTCAGACAATGAAAGTTGGAGAAATGCTGCCCCAAACAATTAAACACATTAATGTATACTGACCATTTATGTAACCCATTTATCTCCTTTGGGTCTCTCCCTCTCTCTCCCTCTCTTTTTCACATTATACAAATTATACAAGGCCTTTTAGGGTTCAAAAAAGGTTTTTGTTAAGATTTTATGTTTAACCAAACTTAGGGAAACAACTGCCTTCACTTTCTCTTTGCGCCTATTTGAATACTGCAAGGATTAATTCTGCTTAGACGGGTCAATATTTTACAAGCTAAGTTAAAGAACATCTTCTGGGCTCTTCCTAAGAGATGTAATCTGACTTCAGGTTTTCCTGGCCCCAATCCACCCTTTCAGCTGCTCTACCTCTGATTCAGTTACAAGTTTTATTTTGTGTCCTAATTCCAAAAGTATTTCACTTATTTGAAGACTTTAAAGATCACCCTCTTGGGTTAACCCTTCTAGTGAAGTGTGACAATGTCCCTCTGACTCAGTCCAGTGCTGGGTGCTCTGTGAGCAACATCATGTCCTCCCCTGCCCTCACTGGTGGTGCCCCCATCACTTTTGACGTCATAGCCAAGTTGGTTATTACGGATGGTTACCGCCTTCTAAGAGCAGGAATGTCTCTTCCCTTCCTTTCCCTCAAGCCCAGCATAGGTCCTTACACCCAGGAAATGCTCAAAAGAGAAATAACAGAAGAACAACAAATTAGGGGGATATTTTAAAATGTTTTTTTAATGATTCACGTGTTGACTATACAAAAGTCTTTGGTATAGGCTTTTCTAGTCAAATCAGGTCTAGTAGGAGTGAAGCCAGATTTTCGCTTGTGAATAGGCTTGAGTGAGAGGTTGGACAGTGAATTGCGACTGAATAAAAACCTAACATATTGGAGAAGTTAAATGTCTTTAATGGGTATTTCAGTTTAAGACTGTTAGTTATGAGATTAAGCTCCATTGCTAGTAAGAGGCCTAAAGTGGTCACACCTAGGGCTGTGAGCTTTAGGTACAGCGGTATAGTTGTTTAGGGGAATGAAACAGGAATGATACTGTTGGTGAGGAGGAACTCAGTGAAGGCACTGCTGATTGTTAGGTGCTTAACTGAGTTAATTAGGAAAGGATTATTTTTGTTAATAATAATCAGAGTGGTGAAGTGAGGTTGTCCGATTAGAGTGAAGAAAATAATACGGGCACTATAGACAGCTGTTATGGAAGCGGCAATGAGAGTAAGAGAAAGGGCTCAGGCGTTGGTGTCCGACATGTTAGCAATTTCAATAAGGTCTTTAGAGTAAAAGCTTGTGAGGAAAGGCATGCCTGTAAGTGCAAGGCTGCCAATAATAAGGGAGGAGGAAGTGAGGGGTAAAGTCTTGAATAGTCCTATTTTTCAGGTGTCTTGTTCATCACTGAGACTATGGATGATGGGTCCTGAACACATAAATAATACAGCTTTAAAAAAGGTATGAGTGCAGATGTGAAAGAATGCTAGGCGTGGCTGATTAATGCCAATTGTGGCTATTATAAGGCCCAGATGGCTTGTGGTGGCAAATGCTAAGATTTTTTTGATATCGTTTTGTGTTAGAGCATAGATTGCTAACAAGGTGGTAACAGCCTCTAGACATAATGTCAAGGTTTGGGTTGATGGATTATTTTCTATAAAGGGTAGAAGTGGATGAGCAGGAAAACTCCTGCTACAGCTATAGTGCTGGAGTGGAGTAGGGCTGAGACTGGGGTTGGACCTTCTTATGGTGCATGGAAGTCAGGGATGGAGGCCCAATTGAGCTGACTTTCCTGCTGCTGCTAAGAGGAAGCTGACTATAGAAAGGAGTCGGGGGTAGGGTTTAAAACAAATGCTTGTTGAAGCTTTCATGTGTTGGAAGATAAGTAGAATCATGCTATAGCTAAAATAAAGCTGATAGCGCCAATGTGGTTGAACAGAACTGCTTGGAGGGCTGCTGTATTAGCATTTGCCGGGCGTGCCATCAACCAATTAGGAAGAAACACATAATTCCTTTGCCTTCTCATCCGATAAAAAGTTGAAAGAGGTTGTTGGCAGTAACCAACAAGTGAATTATTTATGCGTTTTTTTTCTCCTCTACTTTCATTTCATCTTTAGTCATTTCATGTCTCATAACTCTGCTTTCTAGAAAGTGAGGAAAAATAAAAAGACTTCGATTTCAAGTCAATCAATTTTGTTTCTTGTTAACAAACTTTCGATCATCTATTTGGTGGTTATGTAATTTGAAACTATCATGCATAGTTAATTTTTAAAAAGTATTATGGACCAGGTGCCATGGCTCATGCCTGTAATCCCAGCACTTTGGGAGGCTGAGGCAGATGCATTTCTTGAGGTCAAGAGTTAGAAACCAGCCTGGGCAACAGAGCAAGAGCTCATCTCTAAAAAAAAATTATGCAGGCGTGGTGGTGCATATATGTGGTCCCAGCTACTTGGGAGGCAGAGGTGGGAGGATAAGTTGAGCGCAGGAGGTCAAAGCTGCAGTAAGCCATAATCAAACCACTGCACTCCAGCCTGGATGACAGAGAACCTACCTCAAAAAAAAAAAAAAAGAAAAAAAAAAAGTAGTATTATGAATTTTAATGTCTCTATCATTGGATAAATCCTATTATTCTGTATTCCAAATGGATATTTTGATACAAATTTTTGTCGATTCTTCTAAGAAGATAAGAATTACGTGGGTTCTGTTTACATGTTATGTTCTGAACAACCCAAGATAAACTACAGTATTTGAATATAATAACTGGTTAGCAATAAATCCTGAAATAACATTCTCTCTCTCTCTTTTTTTTTAATAAAAGCTGGGGTTTCACCATGATGGCCAGGGTGGTCTTGAGCTCCTGACCTCAGGTGATCCACCCACATCAGCTTCCCAAAGTGCTAGGATTACAGGCGTGAGCCACCGCGCCCAGCCTGAAATAACATTCTCAATCACAAAGCAAGGTGTAAACAGCAAAGCCCTCAAGCTCTCAATACTTGGTTCTGTGATAAGCAAACACTGTCATCACACTTCATCTGTATCAAATCTAACAGTGCATGCAAGTATCCAGCCCCTCCCCAAAACCTCCAGTCTAACCTCATCTCCAAGACCTCTTGCCGAGTCTCTTCATATTTCTTCTTCCATTCATTTGCTTCAATCTCTTTAGTGATTATCTAGAGTATAATAAAGCTTAGTTTTACCCCATCTAATACAGTTTGCATTTAAGTCTGGGGACTGAAACAGCACACAACCAGGTCTAACTCAAGATGTTCAATCTGTATTAGGAATATAAACCTCAATATTTAATGTTTGTAAACATTTGGGAAAGTGTACTCTAAGCTACCTAGGATGCTGGGATGCAGATATGAGAACAAAGATGAGTAGAACATCTCCCAGAAATTCCAAGTGGTATTTACAGCCTCTGTGAACTTTATCTTGGTCCAGGACCTAGCTCTCAGCTCTGCAGGGCAGACCATGACTGGAACAGATAGTAAGAACAGAGCCATCTGACTGGCAGGTATTCACCCTAACCAAGGCCATGTAATTGCAGCTGATGCCAGGTCACCAGAGAATGAAACTGCCAGAAAATCAAAGCACTGGAAGTTGGCATGAGCAGCATATTCTCTTTCTATAGAGATTTTTGACAGCTTCATAAAAATGGAGTCAGAAGGAGGGGGCTCAGATGTATAATACCCTGAGCTGGCTACATCTAGCTATAGGACCCATCACCACGGGTAAGAGTCTTGCTGGTCAGCCCGGAACCCAGGCTCATAATTGGGAAGCTCTTGCTAACTGGAAGGAAATACTCTAAATTCATTGCCTCAAACTCCATTTGCCCTGGGTGGGGCTTGGATGGGCAGCCATGGCTCCCCTCTTACGGTACTTCCCTGTCTGTGCCTCTCTCTTCCTAATTGGTAGTTTTGTTATATTTATTGGGATCTCAAGAACAAAGCAGGTATCCTGTCTGCTTCAGGTAACCAGGCACCTCTTTACTTTGATCCATTAGGTAGTAGGAAAAAGATAAAGTCACTTTTCTCATTTACAAGATTTTGGCCAGGCATAGTGGTACATGCTTACAGTCCCAGTTACTCAGGGGGCTGAGGCAGGAGGATCACTTGAGCCTAGGAGTTCGAGGCTGCAATGAGCTATAATTGTGCCACTGCACTCCAGCCTTGGTGACAGGGGTATCTTGTGTCTTACAAAAAAAAAAAAAAAAAAAAAAAGACTTTGGTGGGCCTCCTTACCATTGCTCCCAAGTTTTGAAAACAGGACTGACATCCCTCATTACCAACTTGATGCTATTTTATAAAGCTTTAAAAGACCTACAGCTGAGGTGCTTAACCATTTCAGCATACTGTAAAAATAAAATTGTCACACCTTCAAGAACAGGTGGAATCATCAAGAATTATACAAACCAAACACACAAAATACAGCACAGAAATATGACAGGAGAGGGTGGGTAACTGATTAATGGTACATAACAACAATGTCTTTCATATTTTTCACATAACCAGAAAAGTCCTAACAGTGATCTATTTCGAACAAAGGCTGTTCAAGAAAGAGAAGAGTAGAACTGTTTAAAGAATGAATGGAAGTAGGAAACTGTGTATTACCACAAATAATTTAAAAATGTTTAGGCATGAGCATATATCCTCTGCAAAATAAGAGCACTGGTTTAGTTACACATATGAGCAAAGCTGGCAAAATTAGATATTTTAAATGTCAGGGTTGAAAGAGAAAGAAGGGTACATAATTCTTAAGAGTATTTCAGATTGTCAACATTTTTCTCCAGAGACCAGAATGTCAGGAATCCAGAGCCACTGCCACAGGGAGCCCTTTTTATGACCTAAACAAGCTGCAGGAAACAAGAACTTCCAGCCTGGGATAACTTGAGCCAGCAGAGATGCAATCTACCTGCTGGCACACGGGCCTTACAAAGAAATGGAGTGGTAAGTAGACTAAACAGGAGAGCTTTTACCTCCTCTCTTATTAAGGTGAGCACAGCTGTCTTATCTGATTCGCTGAGGCAGATCCCATCCAGGGGGCTCTCACTTCCACAGGACACTGACACAGAGGCCTTCTCCGCAGAGGACTCCAGCAGCCCCTGTGGGGAAAGGGATTGTATTAAATAAGTCAGTCTTCAGCTTCTTAACCCCAGACATCCTTCAACAACTTTCTCATTACTAAATTGATCACACCCTTTAAAACCAAGTTTAAAGAAAAATCAGCAGGAGGGAAGCTTTTTAAAAAACAAATCTAATTATGGAAGTACCTAAAGAAAAACTGTCATAATGACTATCAGAGTGGTCTTAGCTTCTGTTGAACAGATAACCTGGAGAAATTTTACTCTGATCTAGAAGGGAGAAAGTGTACTTATAAGAGGGGTCAGTCACCAAAGAACCACATGGATAAGAGAAACACACTCATGATTAAGTTTGTGGGGATGATAAGCTCCATGTAAACAGAACTTTCTTTTTTAAAAAAGCAAAACAAAAACAAGTGACAGCTGCTCCTGTTACATATCAATGCTTTACATGTATCTTTAGCCACTGCAGATGGAAATGTTTCTAAAATACTACCTTTCAGGCCTAAGGAGGCAGAAATAGCAAATATATTTGAATTCTTTGAACTCACACCCCTACCCTTCAACATGGATGATTCAGGATCAGCATGAATTTCCACTGCTCTGTGGCGACCTCCTGCTGTAACCCAGCCTGCTGGGTGTGCACCACTGTTGCCCATATGCACAATGATCAAATGTAAGTCAAGGTCCGTGTCTGTGTGTTGGTTCTGCCTTGCTACTAAGTTTTCCACTCCCTTCTGGCAGCACTTTGCCTTCTGAGGTGCTGGCTCGCTTCTATCATAAACTCAGGTTCCAGAGCAAAGCACTGGCAAGCATTTTTCTTTCTTTTTTTTTTTTCATTTATTTTATTTTATTTATTTTTTATTGCATTTTAGGTTTTGGGGTACATGTGAAGAACATACAAGATTGTTGCATAGGTACACACATGGCACTGTGATGTGCTGCCTTCCTCCCCACTACCTATATCTGGTATTTCTCCCCATGCTATCTCTCCCCAACTCCCCACCCCCTGCTGTCCCTCCCCTATTTCCCGCCTACAGACCCCAGTGTGTGATGCTCCCCTCCCTGTGTCCATGTGTTCCATTGTTCAACTCCCACCTATGAGTGAGAACATGCAGTGTTTGATTTTCTGTTCTTGTGTCAGTTTGCAGAGAATGATGGCTTCCAGGTTCATCCATGTCCCTACAAAGGACACAAACTCATCGTTTTTGATGGCTGCATAGTATTCCATGGTGTATATGTGTCACATTTTCCCTGTCCAGTCTATCATCGATGGGCATTTGGGTTGGTTCCAGGTCTTTGCTATTGCAACCAGTGCTGCAATGCACATTCATGTGCATGTGTCCTTATAGCAGAACGATTTATAGTCCTTTGGATATATACCCAGTAATGGGATTGCTGAGTCAAATGGAATTTCTATGTCTAGGTCCTTGAGGAATCGCCACACTGTCTTCCACAATGGTTGAACTAATGGACTTTGTACTATTTTCCTTCCTAAAAGGCATTTTTGGTGGCTATACCTCCCACCTATGGAAGTAAACTTTTTACATAAATGAGTCATCTAATACTTTGGGAACATCCAAAATGCCAGAGTGACCTGGAATAATCTTAATCTTAAATGTGCAATAACTGATCAATTAGTTATTGATTATAATCAATCCGTTACATCTTGTGTGAATCACACTAAACATAAAGTCCATGGTGAACTTAGACCAGTGACTTTTAAATTTTCAGTCATCATAGTTTTACCCTCTCTCTAGAAAACACTCAGAAACAGAATTTTAGCACACGGCTTCACAGACCTCAGCCATGGGTCCCAAACAGAAACCTGTCTCAGGCCACAGAAAAGAAAAATACAAAAGCCACAAGCTGGCAGTGCCCATGTTCCAGCAGCACTTGGGGGAGGGCAGCCCACTATGCCAAAGGAAGTCCAAAGTCCCCACAAAACCTCTCTTCTTTCTCTTGGAATATATCTACCGCTAGAACCAGAAGGCACTTACAGTAGGCAGCCCCTAAAATGCCCACCCAGTAACCCCTACCTCCAGTACAAATCTCCTCTCTCTGTAATCTCTTGCCTTTCAGTGTAGGCTGGACCTAGTGACTCATCAGAATATGGCAAACATCATGGATGTCACCTATGAGGTTAGGTTCTGAACAAACTCTGACTTCCATGTTTTGAGAAGCTACAGGAAAAGGCCCATATGGCAAAGATGTCTCTGCCAACAGCGGGGAACCAAGACTTGCCAACAACCACGTGAGTAAGCCTGGAAGCAGATCCTCCTCAGGATCCTCCCCAAGTCAAGTCAGGAGATGACTCCAGCCCTGGTCAATACTTTGCAGTCTGCAACAGACTCTGTGTCAGAGGCACCCAGCAAAGCTTCCCAAGATTCCTGACCCACAGAAACAACGAGATAATAAACACTTGCTTTAAGTGTCAGAGTAATGTGTTACACAGCAGTAGATAGCTGATACACCCCTGGACCTTTGAATCATCTCATTAATTTCTTGTGCCTTGTTTCTTATCAAGAAACCGTAACTTGACTAAAGGGAGGTAATACAGGAGGCCAAGCTGACACTTGATTCATCAGTTACACTTCCGATTCCAAATTAATAACATTTTAAATTAATAACATTTCATGGGTCATGAAATTAATAATATTTCATGGGTCAGTCTCTTGTGAATTCTTAGTTTAAGCCAGAGTCCCCAGGTTGAGTCAACTTTAGGAAACAGATTCTCAGTGCTTCCCATGGCTACCAAGTTCATGAGAATTTGGGAAATAAGCCCCCTAAAAATCTTAGCCAGGAAACATCAATGTCCATTACAGAGTTCAGCAGCTCATTCATTTGTTGAGGGGTAAATGAATTCAGTCTGTCTGCTAAACAACTCAATGCTAACACATTTGGGGTCCAGAAGAGGCGGTATCCTGCGCTGGAGGTGGAAGATCAGACCTTGGATGGTAGATGATGTCTCCAGGCTAAGTAGGCTCTTCAGCATGCCAGTTCTCCCGGACCACTCTCTTCTCTGCCTGGCCACATCTATAAGCCTCACTACTCAAAATGCAGCAGCTCTTATAGGTGTAAGGGCAGGAATGTATCCTGGCCTACTTTGGCCATCTTTTCCAGTCTCCTAGGATTTAACTTTTTACCTTCCTTAGTTGTTTAGGTTGCTTATCAAAAAGTGCAGAACATCTCATAGGGGTGTCCAAGGGAGAGAATACAGTCATGAGTTCTTAGTTTCTGTTTCTGGTTGGGCCAGTAAAGCCCCTTCCTCATCCCTCTTTTCTGCTTATCACTAGAGACAGAAACTAAAAACCATGGCTTCAGGCTGCTAAAAGCCTAAAACAAAATGACAGAACAACAAAATTAAGCAAGTTGGACAAGCTTGTTATAGAATCTACCATCACAGAGAATTGGCCAGAAGATCTCTTTCAGGCCTGGGCCATCTAGTATATCTTTAATGAAGATGCTAAATCAATCAATTATATCTTTCCGAAGGGGCTTCATTTCATGTTTGCCAATGCTTCTCTCAGTCCCTCAAAACGTTCACAATTGAGGACCAACAAAGACCTGTCTATAGACAACAGAACTCAATGGAAGCCCTGTTGCAAATTTACAGTGAACACAGATACCACAGATTCCCGTGGCTGTGTCCTAGCAGCAAGAGAATTTGCATCAACTAATCTGTGGCAGTGTGCTGACTGTGCTCATCCCGTCACTTGCCTACAATCATAGCAGAGCAGTACTAGCCCCTGCCGTACTCTAACAGAGACATGCCCGGAAAAGCCAAATGAACTCAACTTTTCTTTATTTCTTTAAATAATTTTTTTGTTTGTTTGTTTTTGTTTTTTTGAGTAAAGATGGGGTTTCACCATGCTGGCCAGGCTGGTCTTGAACTCTTGACCTCAGGTGATCCACCCACCTCGGCCTCCCAAAGTGCTAGGATTACAGGTATGAGCCACCGCACCAGGCCATGAACTCTTAAGAAGTTTATAACTTAAAAAGGAAAGTTAGCTTCTTATGTGAAAAATGCTGTGGAATAACAGCTGAAAAACAAGGTGAGAGTGACTCCCCACCACTGACTGTACTCTGGCCTTAGTCCCAGCCACCACCTGCTGCTGGGCACAAGACACATAGGAATGGACTTCAGAGCAACATGGAGAAACTTAGAAAGTAAATGCTGATTAAACAGATTTTTTTCATTCAACGTGTTACGTGGTGAAATTTCTTTATACAATGTTTATTCAATGTTCTAAGGAAGAAGTTAATTTATGTTGGGAAGTTCAAATGGAGTTGCTTTTAAAAGGTCACAGCATATGACAGGTTCCTCACCAACTGGCTCCAGAGACAGTGTTTGCCACTTTTCTTTTTCACTCTTTCCCATGTTTCCTATCAAATCCCACCAGTGTATTCTAGCACACCAGTGTATTCTAGCATACCACTAGTGTATTCTAGCACTTTACAGCTTAAATCTTTCACACTGTCATTTCATCTTATCCTCACAACCACTTCGATGAGGCAGATGGGTGCTGCTCATTTTATGGATGAATAAGTTGGGAATCAGGAAGTTTAAAGTTTGTTTCAAGAACTGAGTAAACCAGCCAGGTGCAGTGGCTCATGCCTGTAATCCCAGCACTTTGGGAGGCCAAAGTGGGCAGAATGCTTGAGCCCAGGAATTTGAGACCAGCCTAGGCAACATGGCAAGACCCCATTTCTACAAAAAATACAAAAATTAGCTGGGTGTGGTGGCACGCACCTCTAGTCCCAGCTACTTGGGAGGCTGTGGAAGGAGGATCACTTGAGCCCAGGAGGTAGAGGTTGCAGTTAGCCAAGATTGCGCCACTGCACTCCAGCCTGGGCAACAGTGAGACTGTCTCAAATGATAATAATAATAATAATAATAATATACCTCAGTTAACCCAATACATCCAAAATATTATCATTCAACATGTTGTTAATATTAAAAGTTGAGACATTTATGCTTCTTCTTTTTCTGAGTAGCTACAGTTCAAGTGCTCAATAGCCACCTGCAGGTAGGGCCACTGTATAGAACACTGCAGAGACTATATGTTCCTCAAGTGAAGAAATTGTATCTTATTTACATTTTATTCTCATCACCTAACACTGACCAGAATTTAGCAAATTCACATGGGCTTTAAAATTAATACTGAAAGAAACCTGAGCCCCACCTGGCCCTCCACATTAAGGAACTTACAAGCACGGCAGACCCGTCTTCTTCCATCTTCTGACACGTCTCCTTCTCTATCCCTAAGAGAGAAAGTCATTTTTATAGTTAACCCAAGGAGTCAGTTTCTTTCCCTCCTAGTGAAAGGTTCTTGGAGACCCCAGTGCAGGTCGAGAATGACTATGAATACATGAAAAGCATTTTAAGATTTTATTTAAAAGGAGCGCTGGCATTTTGTTGGGCATTGTGCAGTTCAGCGTTATATGTCTATGACATTGAGAAGAGTCACGAATGTTTGTCAGCCTTCAGGCAGAAAAAACAGCAAGGCTGCCCCCTTGTGTCCATTAAAAGTTTGGACAATGCATTGTGCTAACCATGGTATTATTTCAGAAAGGGGTCCCTGTGTAACACCAAATTTTTTTTAATCATCAAGTCAGAGTGAATTTAAATTCCAACCCAGAAGGGTGGCCTTGATCTAATTAATACAGCAGATAAGATAATAAGCTTTAAAATTCAAGCCAGCAAAACTGATTCTCCCCTTCACACCCTTCAAACGGGCTTCCTTGTCTCAGGTCCATCCCCTAGTAGGGTGGAGGGTGACATTTAAAATAACCAGAAGATGGCCAGGTGTGGTGGCTCACACCTGTAATCCCAGAACTTTGGAAGGCCAGGTGGGTGAATCACCTGAGGTCAGGAGACTAGCCTGGCCAACACGGCAAAGCCTTGTCTCTACTAAAAATACAAAAACTAGCCAGGCGTGGTGGCGGGTGACTGTAATTCCAGCTGCTAGAGAAGCTGAGGCAGGAGAATCACTTGAACCCAGGAGGTGAAGGTTGCAGTGAGCCAAGGTCATGCCACTGCACTCCAGCCTGGGCAACAACAGCAAAACACAGCCTCAAAAATAAAAAAAAATAAATAATAAATAAAATAAACAGAAGATCCACTGATTGAAGTAAATGTAAAAATACAGAAAAGCATACAAAACTTTAAAGTTACAATCCTCTACATGGCAATCACTAACTACTATTGTTGTCAATATCTAATATTGAAAACACAAATGTGACCATCATTCCCTTGTTCCAAAACCTTCAACCCCCTCCCTACCTATAGGATCAAGCTCAGATTCCACGGCACGACCTCATTTCCCACTTGCCATGTACTCACAGAAAGCAACTGGGCATTTTACCAACATGGTAGTTTCCTTCTCATGGCTGTGTGAGACTTGTTTCCTGGAGAACATCTAGTTAAGTATCCACCAGAACCCAGCTCCAACGTAACAGGGCCTGTAGCCACTCCCACACCCAGGATGCAGCCTCCACTTGCCTGTGATGTGGCTGATCAGTTACAGTGTAACTGCTTGTTTAAATCTGTTCCCTCTGCTATTTGCTAACTTTGAAGATAGCACTGTATGCAATAGGGATACATACATTTTTGTTGAAGGAATTTCCTCCATTGAGGAAGAACATAATTCAATAAATGTTTACCATGTACTGTGTCAAAGATGACTCAAAGATGACCGTCTCATGGTGTCTAACCTCAGCAAGTTTATAATATTACCTTCCTATAATTTGCACCCTCCACTAGGTGCTGTGGAACAGGAAGGGGAACAGGAAATACAGGAGGATAAAGCATGCTGGAGAGACCTGAAGGGGTGTGCAGAACTGTGTAGGAGGTGGCAAAGGAAGACACTTCAGATGGAAGAAACCAAGGCAGGTGTTAAGAATATTCAGGATTAACCCAGAGAAACCGGAGGAATGGCAAACAAGGTCTTTGGGAAAGACGTCAGGGCAGAAGGCAGTGTTGGAAAAAATCAGGAACAATGCCTGGCACATCATTTTATAGATGAGAGACTGAGGCCTGGGATGGAAAGGAGGTCAGGGGGAATAAACTGCTCTAAGTCCTGACTTTCCATCTGCTTCCCTGGCTTAATGGCAGATCATGACTTTTAAAATTCTATGCATAAAAGCCCATAAATAAAATTATGTTGCTTTTTTTTTTTTTTCTTGAGACGGTGCCTCGCATGTCACTCAGGCTGGAGTGCGGTGGTATGATCCCAGCTCACTGTAGCCTCTGCCTCCCGAGTTCAAGTGATTCTCCTGCCTCAGCCTCCTGAGTAGCTGGGATTACAGGCATGAACCACCATGCCTGGCTAATTTTTGTACTTTTAGCAGAGACAGGGTTTCACCATGTTGGCCAGGATGGTCTCAATCTCCTGACCTCGTGATCTGCCCACCTCAGCCTCCCAAGTGCTGGGATTACAGGTGGAAGCCACTGTGCCCAGCAAGATCTGAGTTTTTAATAATGTTTAATGTAGTCAGGAACATGGTTCTAAATTTCTCATAAGTAAAGTTTAAGGCCAAGGATGTAACTGGGAACCCAAAAGAGAGGCTTAGCTCTAGAATGATCTGATGAGTCTATCAGTAAGAGGCTGCAGCCCTCGTTAGTCCAGGTTCCTCATTAGCATGTTAAGAAAGATGCTACAGTGCACTGGTCAATCTCAATCTACCACATCTGTACCAAGAAAATTTACAGTAGCCTAGTGTCATGAAAATAATCTCTTCACACTTTGGCATTGTGGCTAAAAACCATGGAAGCAGGCTGCTTAGAGTCAAATCTAGTTCTACCATTTACAAGGTTCAGAACACACTACACCAACATATGGCGCTTTCACATTTGAGGAACCAGCAGCAGGAAGGTCTCCTGGCCCCTCTCCTTCCCTCTCCCCTGAAGCAGACCATAAAGGAATCCCTCAGACCTTCCCCTGAAAATAGGTCGCAAGACCTCATTTCAGAGGAGTCCTCCCTATACCCAGAGAAAAACAATGCCCTTATCCTGAAAGACACAGACACCAAGAGGAATTGGAACAAAAAGGACTTGCTAAGTTCCCCTAGTTTATTACCAATGGATCACATTCTTCTGTCCTCCAACTGTACTTCTGCACAACTATCCGTAAAAGTACAGTTTTCCCTGTTTCTTTGGGTCTTCATTTCTGGAGGCTCTAATGTCATGTCAAACTTATAGTAAATATATTTGCATGCTTTTCTCTTGTTGATCTGTCTTTTGTTAGAGATGTCTCAGCCATGAACCTTGTCGTAAGGAGGAAAAAGATACCACTTTTCTGTCCTACACTAGCCAAGTGACTTTAATCAAGTTACTTAACTTCTTTGCCTTACTTTGTTTCTCCAAAGAAGGGAGAAAAGGGTAACTTTGCTATGAATGAATAAATGCAAAGCACTTAGAACAATGCCTGCACAGGGTAAGGCACCCTATGTATTAGCTATTATTTCTGTAAGTTAAACAATGAGCTTAACAATCACAAAAAAGTCAAACGTATGACATAGTCATAGGCCATTTGATACAGTCTGAATACCTGTCCTCTAAATCTCATGTTGAAATCTGAACAACAGTTAGAGGTGAGGCCTAATGGGAGGTGTTTGATTCATAGGAGAGGATCCCTCATCAATAGCTTGGTGCTCTCCTTGTGGCAATGAGTGACTTCTCACTCTGTTAGTTTCTGTGAGATCTGTTTGTTAAAAACTGCCTGGCATCCTCCTCCCCCTCTCGCCATGTGACACATGTGCTCCCCCTTGCCTTCCACCATGATTGGAAGCTTCCTGAGTCCCTCACCAGAAGCAGGTACTCACGCCATGCTTCTTCTACAGCCTGAAGAACCATTAACCAAATAAACCTCTTTTCCTTACAAATTAGGCAGTCTCCGGTATTCCTTTACAGCAACGCAAATGATCTAACACACCACTATACTTTAAGATATGACCATATTCACATAAAATTATAAATTCAAGCAGTCTCACATACCTCAGCATCTACTATACAACTTGCCACAAGTATCCCTGTATCCCTAGTACTTCAATAAGCACTTTTTTTGTGTCCCTTTTCCAGGTAAAGAAGCGAAGCATAGGTCAGCATCCTAAATCTATCCTTCAAGTGACCCAATTCTTTAATCTCTGTAAGGCGCCTCCTACTTTATTAGGCTTTCAGGCATTTCCATGCTTATGTACATTAGAAAGATGAAGATATGCTTCCATACCTGCTTCTGAGGATGAAAACGCATGATTTATGGTAGACACGGGAACATTGGAACATTCAAAGTACTCCAGGTCTTCCTCTGGCTCACCTTTCACCTCGGCCCCAGCTGATTTCTGACCACATGACGTGGATGCCAGTTTCTCCTCATCGGTAGCATGGCCATCCCTATTAGAAATGTCTGAAATCTCGGAGATCACTGCCCCTCCATCCTGAGAAACACAACAGAGAAGATGCTACCCTTTAGCGGGTCAAGCAATGGGGAAGTGACATCCCACGAATGGAACAAAGCGGACACAACTCCATACAGATACGTGACAGAGTTAACCACAGATCTGGGTACAAAGCAAGGAGGAGGTTGGAGTCTTTCAATCGTGAGATGCTGTTTTATACACCCTAGCTTCTGTAATTTGAGTCTGTTTTAAAAAATGAGCTTCTCTAGGTTAAGTCTGTAAGCAAGCAGTTTAAGTGGTTTAAGACAGTGGTTTTCAATTTTTTTGTTCGTATACCTTCTATTTTTTTTTTTTTAAATCTATGTACCCCATTGCATTTTCAAGTGACATCTAAAAACTCTTTGGCATAAGTTTAACTGCAAAGGGTGTGACATCTGGCATATTCTAAATATTGAATTTGCTTAATGCTATCTAGTTACCTGACTGATTTGATGCCATATGATCCATTTTAAATTTACATGAACAAGTTCCTAAGTCAGAAATTTGTGTTATTCCTTTTCGTCTCTAAATCTGTTCTTCCATTCCACTTACATCAAGAAATTATTCCAATGAAAAACATCTGCATGGCTGAAAGTCTTTTAAAGATCTCTATCCAACGTCTCTGTGAAATTTTTTTCTTTAAGTCTGAACACAAATTTTTATATCAATTACAAAACGTTTTATTTCACTAATGCTTAAAAAAACTTTTATAGTACAATAAATATATGGGTTTTTTTTTTAAAGATAACCAAAGATAGATTTTTCATAGCTCTTGCTGCCTACTTTACCAAAATCTGAGGGAGAATCTTTTACACATTTCTAACAGATGAAAAATAACTCAGATTGCAAATTTCCCCCCACCACACCCCTGTTTTACATCTATACCATATACCAAGTTTCTGGTCCAAATTGCATAGGAAAAGTTACGTTAAACTGGATTCTATTAACCAATGAATGTATTTCTGTAATAAGTATACTGACATAAAAAGAACAAAAGGATCTCATTGCAATCAGATAGGCCTGGGTTTTGGTTTGTGTTTTGCAATTAGTTCATATGGTCATGGATGGATATTATTTATTGCTAGAATGTAACAAAGGTCAACATCAATTTTATTCCTGGTTTCTATTTTTATAAATTATAACCATTAAGAAACCTTATTTATATAAACAATAGATGAAACAGAAGGTAGTTCTGTAAGGAAAGTGCCTCTCAATTCTTTGAACCCCTTTCCAAGTTATGTGCCAAAAAAATCTATCATCAAACATTGTTTTTAGATCTATCAGCTGGCAACTCAAGTCCTTCTACATTGTTGAAAGCAATGAACTGGAAAACCAACTGACTTAAGAAAAATATCATCCAGATATTAAGAGTCAATTATCTTTATAGAATCTACACCAATATTTCAAATCTTCCCTTTGGTGCCCTGGAGACTTTCACACCCTGTGGTGATGCATCTTTATAGCATTTAGAGTGGGAATTTTACTCCCTCCCCCAGCCAGAGAGAGAGAGAGAGAGAGAGAGGGAGGGAGAGAGAGAGAGAGAGAGAGGGAGGGAGGGAGGGAGGGAGGGAGGGAGGGAGAGAGAGAGAGAGGGAGGGAGGGAGGGAGAGAGAGTGTTATTGTGAAAGGGTTCCCTTGTCTTCAGGGTCCTTTTCTTCAGGGAAGAGAATCTGGAAGTAAGGATCTGGAAATTGGCTTCTTAAAGCTGAGTACTGAGGCACCCATTGGAAAGTCCTTTTTAACCTCCCGCCAGGGGGATGCAAACTCCCGCTGGGGTACCCCTGGTCTAAGAGACATTCTGGGGATGGGCACAGACTCACCTGAGAACACGCATCCAGAGCAAGAGACTGAGTTTCATGCTTCTTCACCTTACAGCCACTCCTAGAAAAAGAAACACAAATAAGCCAGTTTGGAATCACACTGACAACTGTCAACGTATGAAATGGGGCAGACAGCAGTGTGTGCGGATAGAAGCCAAAGCGTACAGCACCACACAAATCAAACATCACCGCGTGAGAGAGGCAGGGACACCTTTTATGCCTCTGAGTTTTCTAGGGAGAGACGGGGTAAGCAAAGACCAACAGCTGAGCTCATTCTCTGAAAAGACCCCCTCACTTGCTTCTGTGAGTTGTCAAACACTAGCACTCTGATGTCTAGTTTTTAATTACACGCCACCAAAAGCTTTTCATACAGTACAGCCTTAGCAGCTGAAGACATTCAGTTCCTCTGAGCTTCACTCGCTTGGCTTTGACGTTCATAGAAAAATCATCACGCTGGACCAGATTCTTTAAAAATTCTTTATTGCACTAAAAGCCATAGAAGTCTCGTAAAACAGTTCCAGTTAGACTTGTGTGCTCACAGAGAAGAACTGTGGTCATTAAAAAGCATAAAAATAAAAATATATAGTAAAGTGTTACCATTCCTATTAAGTAGTAAGATGAAAGATGAATGCCACATACTGCACAAAGCCTGAAACTTGGGAAAGCTTGAACCACTTGTTATTTGTAGACTAGCACACAATTTGTGATCACAGGACTAATTCAGATTCTTTTCTAATAAACTTAGTATTTCCAGTAAAAACACCACTGTGACCAAAAAAAGAGAAAAAAAGTTATTTGCAACTTTTTTTCTTTTGCGAGAAAAAATAAAAAGACAAGCACGTAAGTTACCGGAATATGCATAATCACTAGTTCATGATCTTCTTTCCCTAATCTTCTTACTGAGTGCCACCCTCTGCCACCAAACTCAAGTTGAGCTGACTCAGTAAAATTTATTAACTGTTCCAAGTCAGCAGCTTTATCCTACCAAAATAGCCAATGATTTCTAATATTAAATAGCAGAACAGTCCCTCAAACCACTGCTGTGATGATCTTGGGGCCAAGCCAGTTCTTGGTATTGTCAAAGCGCCATGTGACACCTGCCAAGCCAGGGAGTGCAAGCTCTTGCACCTAAGGTGTAAAGGCCAAGCCCTACTCCCTTAGGTATGGACAACTGCAAGGCTAAGCTGACTCATGAAGTGGCTGATGAAATGCAAAAAAATCATCAGAAGATCAAACTCAGAATTAGAAGCAAACATGCCATGGAGAGATGGCTGGGGGAGGGTGGGAGGAGAGGAAACTGCCAATGGTCCCAGGGACAAACAGAAGCAGCAGGAGTACTTACAACAGAAAACAGAGAAATTTCACTTGTTCAGTAGTCCTGATGCACCAACAAAATTAGAGACAGGAAAGAGACAGACAGATGGAGAAAAAAATCATGTAAAGACTGGGATATTTAACTCTAGTCTGGCAGATGTAAAAGCTGCAAAAATCTTTGTATGAGGTGAGATATAAATTAAAAATGTCATAGTCATGAATGCTATCACTAGTAAGTGAATGATGAACAGACCTCAACTATAAAAGAGACTGGCAGAAACACTCAGAAATGCCACAAACTCAAATTTATAGATGAAAAATAAACTTTCAAGAGGTCTAGCACTCCTTTTTCTGAAAAGAACAAGAAGACAACATTCTTGATTGCACGAAGACTTTTAAAAAAATCTATTAAGTGTATTAGATCAAGAAGTTTATTCGACAAATACAGAATAGGGAAAAAGGCTACTGGGTGAGGGTGAGGGTGGTAGGACTCGAGATGGTGCTCCTTGCTGCTGAATATAAAGTGCAGAACAAATTACCCTTTATTTGGCCCAGATTTCATCTTTTTTAAGGCACTTCTTGCATGCAACTGAAACTCTCACAAATGACTCCTTATTAACTTCAGTAGGCAGAAGCATCCCACATTTAGGGGAGGAAGTACCTAGGCAGTGACGCGCCCAGTACATACCCCGAAGTGCTGTCTAGAGAGAACTAACCTTAAAAGCCACAAAAGAGGACACCCAATCAATAATATTTTTCAACAACCATTTAACTGCTTATGTTTAATCAAAGAACAGATCGAGAGCTACTAATGACATTTCACTCCCCTTAGCCTTTCTGGGGCTGCTGAAGAACTGGTTTCTGTATCACTCTACTTTCTTGGTTCTGAAGTTGATCCTTCTGCTCTTTAAACCTTTGGGGGTCTTCCTTTCTGCTGAAAGTCACCATGCCACCTGGAGTTTTTATGTCACAGTAATGCTGAGAAGCATTTCCCCAACAGATCTACAGTGACAACTACAAACATGGTGCTTTTCATACTCCTTTTTCATATTTCATCCTGCAACTCACTGGTCCTTATTTATATCTACGTTTTACCCAAATGTTTTAGTAAAATGTCATAGGGCCACAAAAGGATATACAGTCAAGTGCCACATAATGACATTTCACTCATATATGCGATAGTGGTCCCGCAGGGTTATAATGGAGCTGAAAAACTATCACCTAGTGATGTCCTGATGATCCTTACCCTAGGTAAGCCTAGGTAATGTGTGTGTCTGTGTCTTCGTTTTTAACAAAAAATTTTACAAAGTAAATAAAAAAGTAAATATTTTACACAAAGAAAACTTATGGATAGGAATATAAAGAAAATAATTTTGTTTAGCTGTACCATGTGTTTGTGTTTTAAGTATTATTACAAAAGAGTCAAAACTTCTTTAAAAATTTAAAAGTTGATAAAGTAGAAGTTACAGTAAGCTAAACTTTATTACTGAGGGAAAAAATTTTAAATAAATTTAGTGTAGCTGAAGTGTACAGTGTTTATACAGGCTATAGTAGTGTGCAGTAATGTCCTAGGCCTTCACATTCATTCACCACTCACTCACTAACTCACTCACTAACTCACTCAGAGCAAATTCCAGTTCTGCAAGCTCCATTCATGGTAAGCACCCTATACAGGTGTATTATTTTTTATCTTTTATACTATATTTTTATGTACCTTTTCTATGCTTGAATATGTTTAGATACACAAATACTTACCATTGTGTTACACGCCTATAGTAGTTTTCTAAGACAGGGTCTTGCTCTGCCAGCCAGGCTGGAGTACAGTGGCATAATCATGACTCACTGCAACCTCAACCTCCAGGGCTCAAGCAATCCTCCTGCCTCAACCTCGTGAGTAGCTGAGACTACAGGCATGCACCACTACTCCCAGCTAATGAAAAACAAATTTTTTTTTAACAGACAGGGCGTTGGAGGAAGGTGTCTCACTGTATTGCCCAGGCTGGTCTTGAACTCATGGCCTCAAGGGATCTCCCACCTTGGCCTCCAGAAGTGTTGGGATTACAGGTGTGAGCCACCACACCTAGCACCTATAGTATTCAGTACAATAATGTGCTGTACAGGTTTGGAGCCTAGGAGTAATAGGCTGTACCATATAGCCTAGATGTGTAGTAGGATACACCACCTAAGTGTGTGTAAGTTCACTTTATGATGTTCACACAATAAAATCACCTAAGGATGCATTTCTAAGAACTACCCTGTGCCTAAGTGATGTATGATTGTATTACCATCTACTCAGGTTTTGTGAGAAAGTAATCCTGCAGCAAAGTTAAACTGAAACTTGATATGGAATATGACCTTAGGTGATTATGCTAAAAACTCTAAGGACCTTGCAAAAGTCAAATAATTTCCCAGGAGAGATGGGGGGACTGTCTAAACCAACTAATTTACTCAGTTTTAACTGAACATTTAAAATATTCTTCATTCTCACTGCAAATTTACCTCCTTACTGATAAGCCAGAAACTACACATGGAGACAAGAATTCTCACCAACTTTTAGTGGTAGGTTTGTTTCCAACAAAAATCACAGCTGTTTATGTAAAAAGACTTCTTTCTACAAGAACCTTTTGGACCATTTCCCACATGTTATTGACGCTACACAGGTAATTTACAGGACTGGAATTTGTCTTATCCATAAAGAATCTGAAGACGGTGGCAAGCACTGACATTTGAACTGTCTATAATGTGACTCCTCACAGCCCAGCCAGGATTTCTGAAAACCATCAAATCTCTACCTATCTCTCATATCATTCTTTATTTTTCTCAAACATAAAAACATGAAAAGTCCTAGGGCCAGGGGAAGAGCTTAGCTGATTAAGCTGAGGATTCAGAATAAGATAAAAATACAAAAGGAAACCTCTGGTATTTCTGATTCCACACAACAGTTAGGCCAAATAGTGAAGACTGCAGGATACCGTTATCAGCTTTGTATCAACCTAGGTGCACCTCAAAGGTAAATTCAGTTCACCAAAGCCAAAAGTAGCTGGCTGCCTAACTCACAGAGAAGACACAGAGCACGACACCCAGAGCCCGCTGTCACTCACGTTATTAAACGCGACTTTGCCTTCTTGGGTGACTCTAAGATTTCATTAACATGATTACCAGTGGGAGAACAAAAGTCACTGCTTGTTAAGGTCGTAGTTGGTTTAAAGGGATCCATGGATTCGTCAGAGTTATCTGGGTCAAAGTGATAAGAGCCCTCAGAAGAAAGGGGTGGGGAGTTCTGCAGAATGGAGTGGCTCCCAAAGCGGTTGAAGCTGGGGTTATCCCACTGACTAGGATCTAGCTTGGAAGATGCTTGGGAAAGAGGCCCGTCTCGTGCCACTGGGTCTGTAGTCTGTTCTACACCTGCTGACTTACTGATGCCATCTTTTTGTATCTTGGGAGTCAGTTTGCTACCCGGTTTCCTGCCAGGTTTCCTTGGAAGGGCTTTCCTGGCCTCTGCATTTCCCACATCTTCTGTGAAATCAAACTCAAGCTTGAGAGGTAAGCTCCTCAATTCCTCCCCCAGCTCAACCCCTGAGTCGTTGGTGTCACTACCGAGAGTGCTGGGAGTTTCCTTAAGGTCAGGGGGGGACTTCTGGAACCTGGCACCTCGTAGCAAAGAACTTGTGTTCTCATCCAGCTCTTCAGGACTGAAGTGGTAGGATGCCTTGGGGAGAGGTGTGCCCTCCACAGCAGCATCAGCATCTGAGAACTCTCCTCCAATTGCTTTCTTCCTCAGAGGGACGGGCTTGGGCTTTCTCAGCTTGCTTCTTCTGCTGGGCACAGGCTCTGGACAGGAGTTTCCAGCTTTTAGATCAGCTTCTGTGGAGGCCTCGAGGGTGACCCCCATACTGCCTTCTATCATTGCCTCGTCCTGGAGGGTGCCTGATGGGCTGAAAGGCAGAGCCTTGCCTGAGACTGCAGTTACAAAGCCATGAGCTGCTTTTGTTCCGAGGGCTGCCGAGATATCTGTGGTATCCTTCGTTTCTATTGAAAATGGCCTCACGATGGAAATTTTGCTAAAATCATGTTCAGGTTCTTCTTTGAAATTCTTGAGTGAGTGAGAATCAACAGCCTGCTGTTGCACCTTATTTTCTGAAGGTTTAAAACAAGTCTCAGATGAACACTTTTCAACCACTTCTGCTACAAGCTGTTCATCAGCTTCTTGTGATTCTAAAATGGGGGAAAAAAAAAACGTCTATTAAAGAAATATCTTTCTGTCATTGGTAAATATTCTATCCTACCTAAATTCACATAAACAAATAGCAAGTTCTTTCCTCTTTACTTCTATTAAGCATCTCTAAAGTTCAGCAAGGACGGCAGCACAGCCTAAAAGAGAACAGCTGGCACAACACCCTAAAATGAATTTTCTTATCCCAAGTTGTGTATGTGCATTATCCAAGTGATATGAATACCAAGTACACCAAAAGAACTATTTAGAGAAAGGATAAACAGAGCGACAGTCTGCTGCAATGTATATTATGTGATGTTAACATTCTGTAGGTTAAAACTGGTCTGCAGGAATCTTTAGAAACCATCAGCTACGGTGCAGGGACGCAGATTGGCACTAGGATAGTTCCTAGGCATGGCTTGACAGCTTTAGGGTCAGAGTTTTATGCAGTGAACAAATCTGAATCCAAAAATAAACTTAAAAAACCTACTGTGACCAACTCAGAATCATCTCTCTGTAGACCTAAAAACTATAAGAACCAAATAAGAAAGCTAATTTGAAAAACCAGTTATGGAAATGGCTTTAAAACAAATAGCTCTTATTTCACTAAGACACAAATTATAAAACAATAAAGTTATTTTTTCTTTAGAACCTCTGTCTCTAAGCCGGGCCAGGAATTCTCTAAATCACCTGTGAAAAATAAAAATCCTTTTTAATTGGGGTCTTACTAGGATGAATGCTACAAATATTAGGAAGGTGTGAATGAGGTAATTTCATTAAAGCACAAAGTGATTTCCTGACGTAGATATCTGAAATAAGAGTAGCACAGAAAACTCAGTGAATTGGTTATAATATCTCATGATTTTTTTTAAAAAAATTAAGAGATGGCCCTCTAATCCTACTTCCTAATCCTGATCCAGGATCAGAGTCAAGTACTACTGGAATATCACTGGAATAGTTTTTATTTTTGTTTCTCTTGAGACAGTGCCTCTGTTACCCAGGCTGGAGTGTAGTGGCCTGATCATGGCTTACTGCAGCCTTGACCTCCCAGGCCCAAGTGATCCTCCCACATCAACCTCCCAAGTAACTGAGACCACAGGGATGAGCCACCATGCTTGGATGGTCTCACTAGGCTCAAGCAATCTGCCTGCCTCCACCTCCCAAAGTGCTGGGATTACAGGGGTGAGCTACCACACACAGCTAAGGTTCTTTCAATAACATGTAACCCAAACACTACTGAAATAAATTCGATTTTTTTTTTAGACAAGGCCTTGCTGTGTTGCCTAGGCTGATCTCAAATTCCTGGGTCCAAGCCATCCTCCTGCCTCAGCCTCCTGAGTGGCTTGGATTATAGGTATATGCCACCATGTCCGGCTTAGTTTTTACTTAGACTCTGATTTAGTTACATTGTATGTTTTAATCTCACAAATACAATTGTTTTTAAAACTAATGCTTTCAATCTTTATAACTATAATATAAATCACTTTAAAATCTGTTATATATCAGAGTCCACATAATGTTTTTTTTTTTTGAGAAAAAGGTTCCACTGCATTAAGATTTTGAAAACTATGGTTAAAGTAGAAGGTACATCTCTAAACATAGTAATATGTAAATAAGTGGGGATGAATAGGCCTTCTAGGAACTAATACACATGACCTTTTAAAGAGACTTTCAGCATCTCTCAGGTGTACTATAGATGATCCCACTGTAAGTAACAGATCTTGAAAACCCTATACAAGAGGCTGTATTTTAACGTCTTTATCCTGGTGTGCCCAGCAGGAGTGGGTGGCGTGGTACAGTGGGAGAGCCACCCTTTCCATATACTGACAAGCAAGAAATGGTCCTGAGCCACCGTTTCTCCATCTAGAAAACTGTTTTGTACTACATTTTACTATAAATCAAACTAATAAACTGGAAGAACTTGTTACCTAAGTAAGTCATGATAGATTTGGTAACAATAAAAATTTTATTTGTAAAATATTGGTAATACATGTGTACTTTCTTGTACACAATTTACTTCAAGTGATATTTACCCAGAAACTAATTAGCCTATATTAAACTAATTAGCCTACCTCCTTTCATTTGCTATGGATGTTTTCCAATAAATTTTTTTATTTGGTTCTTTTAGTTCTTCAGTCTATAGAGAGGCAATTCTAGGGCAGAGATGGGAAGTTTTCCATTTGTGTTTTTGAAACAGTCTGATTATGTAAACTCTGTTCTGTGGAATAGGGAATACAGTTACGTGTTGCTTAACAGTGGATTCTGGTTATCATCATTGTGGCAATTTCATCATTGTGTAGGTCATTGTGTGATCATCATAGAGTGTACCTGGCACAAACCTAGATGGTATATTTACTACACACCTATGGTATACCCTATTGCTCGTAGGTTACAAACCTGAACAGCACATTACTGTACTGAAATACTGCAGGCAATGGTAACACAATGCTAAGTATCTGTTTATCTAAACACAGAAAAGGTAAAGTAAAAACATGATATTATAATCTTATGTGATCACATTGTATATCCAGTCAGTCGTTGATCAAGACTGTCATTATGTCATAATGACAAGTCATTATGCGGTGAATGACTGATTTGTATTTTTAACTTCCAAGGATTCAAATCTGCTCACTGCATAAAAATCTAATCCTAAAACTGTCAGGTTGTGCCTGGAAACTCAGTACCCATCTGCATCCCTAACATTTAAGCTGTTGATGTCCAATGGCTCCTCTGGACCTACAGAATGTTAATATCGCGTAAGATATATATGCAGTAGACACTTGTTCTACTTAGTCTTTTCCTAAATAAGTACTATTTGCATTATCCAACTGATACAAATACTCAATTCAGATTCTTATCTGTTAAGACAGTAAGTGGATCTGTAAGAGACTGAGATCAGGATAAAATAGAGACAGAAGACCATCCTATCCCAGTAGACAAGTGATAGAGAACAGAGGTACCTGAGGACTTTTCAATGCACACAAAGGCCTACTTATACTGCCCCAGCTTAATTTCCATGAAACTCCCCTTTCTCAATGATGTATGTGTATTTGAGGTAGTCTGAGTAGATTTCTGCCCTTTGAAACCAAATGTATCCAAACTTAAGTGCATAGAAAACTCAAATCCCAAGATTCTGAGATCAAGTGATGCCACCTAATGAGAGACAAATACATAAACCTTTCGGATATGACAGGATAGGCATTACAATCCTGTCCTATGCAATGTCCTCAAGGAGCCCAGAGGAGGAGAGCAAACCTTCATATAAGTACAGGATGAGAGACCTACCTGAGCAACCGGCCAACATTTTCTCACATGTGATTGCAGTTAACTGCAAACTCAACACAACCCATGGTGGCATAACTGAGCACATAGCCAATGCAACCTCAGATCCCATTAACAGATAAACAGAAACATCAATGACAACAGTATTGCGTAAAACAGAGGGGTTGGATGGAACAGGCAATGGGCTACTAAGAGCTCACTAGGATTATCTTATTGAACCGAGACATCAGTCTTTACCAGTAGGCAAACTCAAATCTGTCCAACACTAAGGCCTGGCTGCTAAACCTTATGTTAAATTCATCTCTTGATGGCCAGAACAGTTTCTCGTAGTCTCTCTCATCACATAACATCTGGGATTGTGAATTCAGTTAGATTCTGATTCAGTTCTAAGTTCCTCATCTTAAAAAAACTATGGACAAAAAGTGAACGTCCTTAGAGGAATGTGGATCAAGGTGGTGTATCTGTAAACAATTAAACTAAGATATTTAGCCTAGAAAACTAAGAAACATTATAGAGTCTATAAATATTTTAAGGGCGCTTGAGGTAAAGGGATTAGAATTATTGTAGCTTCAGAGGATAAAATTAGGATCATGTGGACAACTATTAATATTAAGAGGAAAGTGGATTTCAAATCAATATAAGAGAAAACTAACAGGCAATGAATGCAAAGAGAAGCCAGCTCCTTATCCATCAGGAATGATTTGCCCCTGCCCCTCCATTCACTCACACATTCACTCAGTCATTCAACAAACATCTGAGCATTTTTATGTACAGGGCTCTGTGCTTGGCACTGGGGATGTAACAGCAAGCAAAAAAGAGGAGGGCTCTATTTTCATGCAGTTTAGAGACTATCAGGAAAGAGAGACATTAATTGAGTAATTACTGAAAGAATGTAGGGGAGAAATGAGGCTGGGAAAATAGAAAGGCAACATGCTTAAAGAGCCTTGCAGGCCTTATCAAGAATCTGGTTTTATTCTAAAAGCAACAGGAAACCATAAAGAGTTTTTAAGCAGCAGACAATATACTTAGATTTATATTTTGAACAGACCCCAGTTGCATCGTGGAAAAGGATTAAAGAGAGTAAACATGGAACATGTAAAACTGCTAGTATGTTATTCTAGGGGCTTTGGCAAGGGTGATGCTAATGAATGGGAAGAGGAGTTACATTCTAGAGAGGAAATAAGGAGGTGAGACTGATAAAGCTGGGTGATAAGCTGGACCCAGGACTGAAGTAGGAGGAGGTAGCAAAGATGATTTGTAAGTTTTTAGCCTTTGAACTAGACTAGTGCCATTCAATGAGATGCAGGAAATTCTAGTGAATGCTTGGGGACTGTTGGAGTGAGGCCATGGGTTTGGCCTTAGACATGCTGAAAACTGTTTCAGGATTTTTAAAATTATTCCATATTTCATTTCCAAAAAATTTTTTAAACATAGCTTAAATACATTGTTATACTTTATTTTAGAGACAGGGTCTGACTCTGTCATCTAGGCTTGAACACAGTAGTGTGATTCTGGCTCACTCCAACCTCGAACTCCTAGGCTCAAGGGATCCTCCCTCCTAGGACTCCCAGGTAGCTGGGACTACAGGCACACACCACCACAGCCAGCTAGTTTTTAATTTTTATGTACAGATGGGGTTGCACTATATTGTCTCGGCTAGTCTCAAACTCCTGGGCCCACAGCATCCTCCTACCTCAGTCTCCTAGAGGGCTGTTATTAC